AAAAATTACACTTAATTACGTATATTTTAAAAATATCGGACACATCGTAATTGGTTATATACTCAATATCATTTGACATAACCGGTACAAATTGTTCTAGGACGTCTGCGCCATTTTGTAGCCCAATTGGTTTTCCATGCCCACCATATAGATTCTAGATGTAGAGAAATTTCTGGATTGTATCATTGTGGTATTAGGGTGTGTAGTCCCTTCCAAACGATTACTCTTCTTCGAGCCCTGCATGGCTGTCACCCTCGTGAGGATATCTGGCACTCGCGCGCAGATCAATGGCTTCTGATCCCCCAAACCTCTCTCTAAGCTCGACATCCTGAGGAGCGAGACGCAGGACTGAGAGTTGCTACTTTGGTCGGTATACGGGTGGGAGGAATTGTGTGAAGAATGAATGTGTGACCTATGGGCTGTGAGTGAGAAGAAATTAGATCTTGCTGGGTTTAAGAAAGAAAATGCCAATTTTGTGCTGTTGTTTGCCTCTGACTGCGGGTGACTAGGTCCGTCTCCTTTAACTTTCAGCAACGTGAGAGAGACGGGATTGATTAGAGCCATTTTAGAGAGAGGGCACTTTTGTTTGTTTTTTTCTTTTTTTCTTTTGATTTCTGCTCACGAGTCTGCACTACATAAGCCCAGACAATATTTTCCCAATCATATACAGTACATCATGATTATCATCAGTTTTCTCCTCCTTCAGCAGGCCCGTGCATTCTCGATTTATTGCTTTGCTTTTACCTCTTCGTAACATTGGGCTCATGCGTTATTTCAATTATATTCCTTTCTCTTTTTTTAGCCAGCGTTGTGGCTATGACAGACTAAATTTATATCACCGCCATTTACTCACAAAATGTATCCTACTCAAATCCTTTTTCATCTTCATCACGTCCAAAAAGAACCACTTTCTCAAACGTATCTTTTTATCAAATTTGCCAATATACATTTTCGATACTCGTGAATATTCAAAAGTGACAAAAATAGTTTCTAGGATCTTCTTTCGAACTACAGCTACTTTTGTGGAAGTAACATTATTATTAAGAATACTATGTTTACAGAATATTAATACGAAAATTGAAGTGAATTAAAAAGTCAACTATTTTCGTAATTTTTTCTAAGAGAAATGATGCTAGTCAACGGAAGATGAAACAAATAACTTTGGAAATTATCTAATTTATTTCTGCGTTTGTTTGGAATGGTTCCCCAATTTCCAGGCATTCGTTCCAAACGTAACTCGAGAATCGTGGGAATTCTATTTGTGAAAACAGCGAGCGTCAATGCCCTAAAACAGATGCCCTTATGTCTTCCGCAGTTTACTTCATTTACTAAGTTCATCAGCGAATCACGAAATATTTTACATTCTTGTTAAAAGGTACATTTTCTTACAAGTTGATATCCGCAGGTTTCCTCAGCACCATTCATTCCCTTCATTTCCTCCATGTGCACTAAGGAACGTTTATGATGCTGATGACGTCATAGGGGACTCCACACGAGCACTCAAACATGTGTACGACCTTGCAGATGACGGTGTTTTTGTGAAGGGGTGGCATATAATGGGCTCGAGGAAGGAAATATGTAGGTTCTAAAAGAAGAGCGTCAGATTTGGTCAGCTGCCTATTCACCACTCTGCCAGTCCGGATGACAATAATCATCCCTACATGAACTTACGGCATACAATTTGGAGGAACAGCAAACAAGAGAAATTTCTCAATCTGTATGAGGACAGTAGAAAGGTAGATTGGAAGACAAGAAATTAATTAATATCGGTAATAATAATTTGAAAAATTTAGCTTATAGTCTCCTTGTTCAATTCCCTCTAGCATTCAGATTGCCTTTACGCCATTGTGCAAATACGTAATTAAGTCTGAAAGATTTTTCAACCCTCTTGGGTCGAAGTCGCTTGCCTTTCACCTCTGAGGTTCCGGATTCGATTCTCATAGAGTCCCCGTAGAAGCTCATGTGAAATTTGTTACTACAAAACGAGATTGAGTGCTTCACAAGGGCTAGTCCAACCCCTGTGAAGCGTCCTATACTTTACCCCTATCCTTATTCCTTCCCAATTCTGGCCGATGGGCAAATGGCGCAGGACGCGGGCGAAACGCGAGCGCGAAGACGCTACCTGTCGGCGATTCCGTGACTTGATTATGACTCACGTGACTTGACAATGCAGCGGCCCCTAGAGGGCGCTTATTGACGGAGGATTACTCCAGTGCGTTCAACTCTCCTAACGGAGTTAGGAGACGCGTTCCGATATAGACTGAACAAATTAAGAAAAAAATCGAAGGGTGGTATACACTCTTACTATTTCTTTTAGCAATTGTGTTTCATGTAAATCTACACAATCACAAATGTGAACTCATACTTTATGAATGATCCATACAATTTTGGATCCCCTGCTAGTTCTTCTACTTCCATAGATGCTATTCCACCCAAGTGGTCATAAGCTGAGAATCTTTTTTTGCTGGCATCCCAGATCAACTGCTTTCGTATCGACGTGCCATCAAATATGAGAGTACTTTCCTTCAAATGTGATATCTTGTCACTGTTTTCATTTAAACGTTTGAAAACTTCACGAAAAAGATCCTGTTTCACAATAATTTACAGGAGAAATCCATGACCTTATTCTATTTGGATGAGGTAATAAAAATAATAATCAGACATGCTTACATGCTTTAGGAGAATAAAAGCGCAAAGTAAAAACGGTTTCAAAAGGTCACTGTACCATCTTCCCCTTTTTGTCACATATAGAATTTTGATACTGGATTTTGATAAACTCAAACAGAAAACCACTAAACTTCTCTTCAAGAGCAGCTTCCCCGTCAGAAATTTGAAGGTCCTTTTTCAATTCTTTGATTAATTCTGCTGTTACTAATCTTATTCCCGCGATTCAGTCTCATTTGTAAAAGCTTATTTTTCTTCCTCCGAATGACTTTGGTCAGTGACTGAGGAACACGGCCTCTCCGTGTCCCCTTGCATTTTTGGTTGCTAGGCGATTTGCACTGAGAATCAACTTCCACATCAGATTCGCCTTCTTTGTCCCGCAATACATACAAACTCGTTAATGTGGTTAAACTATTCAATAATTAGTATCATCATTGTTAAACACAAATTCTTACTGCCATACATTGTTCATTAGAATAAAGATTATAATTTACAAAAAAGAAATATATAAAGCTTCTTCTCAATTTACTTACAATGGCATTCGAAAGTTCCAATCACATTATATGTCGCTTCAGAGATGTTTGTCCCCCAAGATGAACAGGAATATCAAACACAAAAGGAACTGCATCTTATTTCAGTAACATGACTTTCACTTGGTATAACATAAAAACGCAAGAAATTACAGCTGAGGTAAATTTACTTCACATATACTGTTAGAAACAATAATCACCGTCAAATTAGTAATATAATTGAGAACTTGATATCAATTCTTAAAAAATGTTTGCTGCAATGTGCTACTTACGGATGGTTCCATTTCTCTCTTCAGGCAGGATGAATCCATTTCTTCAAAATGTATGGTCAAGAAAAATTGAATGTGTGTAAAGCAGAAATACAATACATATTTATATAGAACTTATCATTAAAAGGATGTGATACATCTTTCCATAATGGCTTAGTTTCAAATAAATTTGGAAAGATAAATCTCTGGTTGTGGAACTGAATCCCACTTCCTGTTTTCTGGAGTTATTTACAACCGCACGCAACACAAATAATTTCCCATTGTGTTTCTTGTTAAAAGCAAAATTAACCGAAATCAAGCCACAACCTTTCCACGCCGTACCAAAACACTTATTTCTCGCGCAACTTTTCTTGAACGATGGATTGAAGAAATGCGGGTAGAGTGGGGATATTAATTATCAAATCAGTCACCACATTTTACGAAGCAATGCCGATCTCTGGAGAATTAGAATGGCCAGGCGGAACAGCAGGCGCAATGCACGAGCGGAGTTGCTGACTTTTATTTTAATTTTAATTTTAACTTACTTCATTCATTTAATTATAATTATAATTTACTATTGAAAATAATTTTGTACGAACTTTTTTATGTACAATATTTTGAGATTCACTTTTCAGCAAACTGGCCACTGGTTACGAAGTTGCTATTTAACAATACGAACATCGCGTTACGGCAAGTTCTCAGAAGTTCTCTCTTTGGCCGGTATTACACTGTAAAAGGTATTTGACAAATATCTTTGATGTTCTTTGAACGTTGACGAAGGAAACTGACACAGAAATTTGACGAACATTAGTCAAATATTTTATGTGATGGATGACGCACAAATAGTTGTCTTTGTGCTACTTTATGCTTAATTATAACCAATATATGTTTAATCAACGACACCTAGATAGCATTGGTTTAATGCTGAAGAAGTAAAAGGTAAAGAGGAGACGTTTGAGGGTGAAGCCATGGGTCGCACATTGTGAAGCGTTAATTAAAGAACTTCGAAATGAATTATTTGAGGATGGACGAGGAAACAACTTTCTTTGTCGGCCTTCGTCTTCTTTCGAAATTGGGTCCTCGACGACGACGACGACGACGCAAACTCAATCCATGTCCAGGTGCCTCATTAATGATTTCCACACTTTAAAATGTTCAAAATCAAGGTAATTGGAAAAGCAAACTTTTCCTAACTTTTCTTCAATTTTTTTCAGATGGTGCTATGTTAACGAAATTGTCTTTATATCACTTCTCGTCTCCCCTCCCCCTCGCACTGAAGCTTTGAACTTAAATGTTAGTTCATATCCTGGCTTTCGACATGTTTAGATCTCATCCGTCACAAATCACACATAATTCAGTAAATAAACATTTCTTATACCTCATCAGGTGCTTGTGAATACTGGAGCGACACAATCTGAAACAACGACTGAGTACTCTGGAAATGAATAGAATAAAAAATTAGTGTTTCCCAACACTTTGCTTTTATACATTGTTATTGTACAACTAATGTTGCTTGACGAGGTGATTTATTTGAAAATTGCTTTTTTTTATGTTGCAGCCTGAATTGTACTTATGCACGCCCATAAAGGTGGATCCAAGTAAACCGTACTACATTGGTAAAACGTTCAACTATTTTCAACTAGAATATATTTATCTATATTGTGCAACTAAGTTATAAATTTTTCTTTTGCAGTTGGGTTTGAACCAAATGCTACTATGTCCACTGCACATCATATGTTGCTCTATGGATGTAAATTCCCAGGTAGTCAAAAATCTGTTTGGTATGTAACTAATGTTTGTCTGTTACATTTGCAATTAACTCTGCGTAGCGTACGTTTGTAACCAGACTGACATTTGTTCCTTTAGGAATTGCGGAGAGATGGCAGAACATGATGATTATTTGGAGACGTCAAATCCCTGTGGAGAAGGATCTCAAATCATTTATGCGTGGGCACGCGATGCTCCGAAACTCGAGCTACCGGAAGGAGTTGGTTTCATGGTTGGTGGCAAGTCTCCCATCCAATATTTAGTACTTCAAGTACATTATGCGCACATAGAAAAATTTAAAGGTAAAACTTTGATTAATAATTATAAACATCACTTGCCACTTTATGCATTCTGCAAATTAACACGTGTCGTTATATTCAATTACAGATGGCAGTACTGATAATTCAGGAATATTTCTTCATTACACTGAAAGACCGTACGTATAGTCGACAATAATTCTGTAAATATTTTACTCATTAACCATACTGTATGACTGTGAGACATTGGTGTCATACAAAGAGAGGAAGCAGACTAAATATATTTGTGTTCATTAGTATACATGACTAAAAGAGAAAAAAATTATAAATTGTGATTTACAGAAGAGGCTAAAAACATATAACATACGAGTATTTAACATGGTAACCACACCAAAGAAAAAAGCAAAATCATATTAAGATACTGGAGTTAATGATACAAAAGATTAGAGGGTACGATGAGAGACTAACGAAGGGAGCGGGGTCCGGAAAAAACCAACTCGGAAAGCAAGAGGTCATTCGTGCTTGTGGGGATGAGCAGAGACGTAATTACAGCCGACCAGGCGGGACATTTGCCTCGGACGTCAGATTGGCGAAATTGATGGAATTGCCGATCAAAATGTTCGAAGGCGAGTCTCCTTCAATTTGAAACGGTTATTTTGAATTTGGAGAGAACTATACATTAAGCATCTACAACATTTTTATAATTTTTCTCGCAAATGGCACTATTTTTTTTTCTTAACCTCCCTCCCCCCTTGATAGAGCAAAATGCGCATAGGGATGGTAGAGGTCACATTTTCGTTGCATTCCCTAAATTTTCGAAAATTTCAAAAGTTCAAAATTTTGTCGACGCCTTCCGATAACTACAGTAATAGAAATGTTTGTCATAATGAAATTTGTTCATCAAACAGATCTTCAAATAAAGTCATGTCATTTTTTCGAAAATGTGAGAAGATGCATAATTTTGCTAGTCCAACCCCTGTGAAGAGTCCTAATTTTTCCCAATTAACTGGCTGCGGGGTAGTGGCGAACGAATGCGTACAGGAACGTTCGCGGAAACGCTCCCCGGCAGTCCTCTCGGCAACGACGTGCGGACCATTATGACTAAGCAGTAGAAACGGAGGATTACTCAATAATACTTGTAAGCACTCAACGCCCAAAAAGGGTTAAGACACACGGACTGGAATGTTGTCTACGACAAGCCTTTGAACTCTTTCCTCTTAAGTGTTCAAACGTTTAAAAATAAATTAACACTATTTGTAAATTTTAGTAATTATTTAGTTAGGTTCATTAAAAAGTTGTTATTATTACTTTTAATTCCATTGTTTTATTAAATACAAAATGAAATATAATGTATTAGTGTAGAATGTGGTGTAGTGTAGTGCAATATAGAATAAGAAAGAGTAAAGAGCAGTTAAGTTAGTAAGTCATTTGTTTAATAATTTCAAATATTTGTGTAAGACAAGCATAAAAATTTAGTGTTAATTGGAGGGTGACGGTGTGAAGGTTCCTTGACGCCCATATAATACTCCCCAAATGATGTTTAAAATGAGTATTCGCATTAAATGTTGACAGACTCAAGGATGTTAATGCGTGCCTCGAAGGTCCGAACCTCAACGTTGCTCAACGTGGACACGCGTAGCGTCACAATTCCGCGTGCGTGGGCCCTGACACCACCAACTTCCGATTTACCAAATTTAGTTTTTATTATCATTATTATTACTTATTAATAGAACTTAAAATTATTTGATCATTTAGTTATATTGTATTAATATTCTTAATTGTAATGTTTCAAAATTGTAGTGTTCAACCATCTGGTTACATAACCTTCATGCAGATATAACATATCTACTTAATTATGAGTTATAAACATTTTTTAACAACTTTAACTTGTCTATATTTGATCAACTTAATAAATTATCTCCCTTCCCAGAACGTGTTTCATTCATACAAAAGTAATTGAGATTAGAAATCTGCTTTTAATGAAAATTATTACACGTTTTGCCATAATATTATGAAGTCATTTAGTCAATAAATTAAACAAAGTTTTTGGAAACTCCCCCCCTCCCCCCAATTTGAACTCCACTTCTTTAATTTTCAACTGTTCAATAGATATTGCACGGGCTCGGCACTTTTGTAATTGATTTTTAAAATAATGTAATGGTTCATTTTATTAATTAAAAGCAGGACAGCAAAAAAGTTAAATTTGAGAACTGTTTGATGAGAAGTAAGAAAAAAGTGGTTGTCTTAAAATAGCAATTTTTCAAATAAACTTTTGATTAACTTATCCTAGGGATGGGGAAATCTTAGTCAGGGAAATGTGTTTTCCAAATTTTGTCTCCATCCGACCTAAAGAAGTTTTTAAAAAAATATTTTTATTTCACTCAGTTTTAGTCTCAATTTGGATACTTACAAAGATAATGGTTTCCTAATAAAATTTCAAATTTTCAGTATTTTGAAAAAGGAAAAACCTGAAACTATAACTACAGAAAATACAGCTATTTTGTCATGTGACGTAATATGAAAATTGCTAATGTATTTACAGTAATTATAAGGTCACAAAATGCCTATGTTCATAGAATTAATCAGAACGAAGAGGACTTTTTTTAAATAGTGTAGTTTCCCAATAATTTCATGATATAATATTGATAATTATTACATATTATATTCAAGAAATGTTTGAGTGTTTTTTAATATTCTTTGTAAGTTTATTTATTTTAATTGTTTCTGGTACAGATTAAACAAATTGGCTGGTGTGATTCTCCTTGGAACTGCAGGGGAGATTCCTCCTAGAGCAGAGGAACACATGGAGACCTCTTGCAAAATTACAGAAAGGAAGAAAATTTATCCATTTGCATATCGAACTCATACGCATAGTTTAGGTAAGCCTTCTTTACAGAACTTTCAGTTTTCTATTATTTGCACTGTATTTTTCTATCTATCTGGATAATTTAGATCTTCTATTTATCTGGTTGCACAATATTATAAAGATAATACAGTTTTTAAACACGTTTTACACACAACGAAAAGACATGTATAATTTTATTGCTTGCTAGTACAAACATAACAAAAATCAAGAGTTTCATCAGTACCGACTTTAAACATTTGTATTTTAATGTTTGTACATTTCAACACACCCTCAAACAATCTTGAACCATCTTTTCTTGTATTCATCTTTAATGAAATGATACTTAACATCAGTGTAAATATATTATTGAATTAACTGACCAGCCTTCACCATTTTAATTCAATTTGGTTATTGACATGAAAATTAACATTGATTTTCTTGGACAAAAGCTCTTCAAGCACAGATTTGACATACATTTCTTTACAGCACTGAGCAGCAGCTATATATTCAGCTTCTGTAGAAGATTGTGCAACCCCAGATTGCTTGCGTAAACATCACCATGGTCAGAGTCATCAAGTGTGTGTGTGTGTATTGTTATTTGAGTAATGAATAACATCTTCGATAGAACCCTTAATATATCTCAGAGTTCTTTTAATATTCACATCTTGTTTGGTAGGTTGTCTTGAATATCTGCTTGCATAATTAACTGCAAAGCAGATATCTGGACGGGTCTTGGTTGGCAAATACTGAAGGCTTTGAACTGTTTCTTGATAAGGAAATTTGGTCACAATAGTTTCTTCTGAATTACAATTTTCTTGATTTGCAATAGAAGTTCTCACTTATTTAGCTGTTGTATTTATTTATGAGTTGTTCAGCGTATGTTGCTTGATTCATGAATACCCCATCTTGATTTTGACATTTGCATACCTAAACAAGAACTAGGTAGAAGAACTGTAGTTTCAAATTGCATACTCATTTTCTGGAGGAATTTTTGAATTTGTGTACTATCTTCACCAATAATGATTCCATCATCCTCATGAATTGCAATAAAAAGTTTATGGGTAGAATTTGATGATTCAAACACACATTGATCTGTTTGTAGTTCAATAAGACCATCGGGTTTGAGAAATTCTATAAGTAGTTTGAACTATTGATGAGGAGCCTGTTTGGGACCATACAAAGACTTTCTCAATCTGCAAATTATACCATTAACATAAAAATCATTTGGTAGATGCATGTAAATTTCTTCTTCCAAATGGCCATACAGAAAAACAGATTTAATACCAAAGGTACTTATTTTCAAGGTTTCAGAGGCAGCAATTGGTAGCAACATTCTTTGTGAATTTGTGTGGGCAGTGGAGCTGCAGATGAATTCATAGACCAGACCTGCCTTTTGCTGACATCCTCGGGCCAGAAGTCTAGCTTTATAACGACCATCTCCCGTAACTTTAAAAAGCCATCGATTTGTCACAATTTCTTTGCCTTTGGCACATTATTTGTCTACTAAATCCCAAGTTTGATCCTTGACCAGGCAGTCTTTCTCTTCTTCTATGACACTAATCCATTTATTTTTATCTTGACTATTCATAGTCTTCATAACTAAGTGAATCTTCAGCAATCACAGCCATCATCACATAAGCTTTATATCTATCACGCATCTTTCTCTCCCTTTGTAGTCTTTGATTTAACAGAGGATCTGGTATGGAATCATCATCTGAAAGTACATACTTTTCAGAATCACAATCTTCATCTTCACTGGAAGTTTCTTGATTGTCTTTGTTTTCTTCATCTTTGAAGAAGTTTTCCATTTCTACTCACTGTCTGTTAAGCAGTTGTTGTGGATTCTTTAGTATCAAGAGCTATCACATCTCTTGAGACATACAATTGACGAGTATCTTCATCCCAGATTATAAAACCGTTGTTTGAGTATCCCACAAATCTTCCTCTTTTGGCTATAGGATCCAGTTTCTTGAGAGGACCTTTATTCTTGGTGTAAGCCATTGAACCATTAATTTGAAGGAGGGACAAATCAGGTTTCTTCTTATACCACTTCCCAGCAGGTGTAGTATCTACAGCTACTGTAGAACATCTGTTTTGGAGATAAGCAGCAGTCTGCACTGCATTACACCACATTCCATTAGGAAAATTAGCATCTTCAAGTAAAGCTCTCATTTTATGTGCCAAGGTGTAGTTCATTCTGCCATACCATTTAACTGTGGAGAATGAGGACTTTCTGCTTACACCACTCCTTAAAATCATTTGAACGGAATTCACCACCATTGTCCATTCTTATTTTTAACACTTTTAGGTTGTGGAAATTTTGTGACTC